TGTGTGTGTCTGTCTGTCTGTGCGTGCGCGCGTGCGCGCGCGCGCGTGCACGTGCGCGTGCGCGTGCGTGCGCGTGTTGTGTGTAACTGCGGTGCATGCGTGTGCATATGTTGGACCCTCTTACAAACGAAGAGCGACTCTTTCGTATCGGCCGAGTCCGAGAAGCCTTGCTGGGAAATTCGAAGGAGCGCCCCTGAAGTCGAAAGATTTTCAACCTGGGAGGTCACCGGAGAGGCTTTGGGTTTAGGGTTTAGGGTTTAGGGTTTAGGGTCACTGGAGAGGGTTTGGCGCCAAAGTTTATGCTTTCGGGCTTAGAGGTTTTTCAGAAACGGATTAAGGCTCCGGGCTTGGAGCGCTTGGAGGAGTTGAAGGCTTCCGGCTTCCCTTTTGCCATGGGAGCTCGTTTTGGGGGGGGTTTCGCGGCTTGGCGTGTTTTGACTTCTCCTGTCGATCAATGCCCTAAACCCGGAACGCTTACATTAAGGAAGCTTCTGGGGAACTCTTATGGGGAGTCTAGGGATTGTTGCTGCCATGCGTTTGCTCTTCCTACCAGTAGCAACCGTTAACAGTAGTTCGGGTTTGGGCGTCAGGGTTGTTCTGATTCTGGAACTTAGCGTTCCGGAGAAAGTAAAGCCTCCTGAGCCCCAGAAGATTGCTGTGTTGTTGAGCACAGTTCTTCTGATTTACGGACAAACGGAACAGTGCCATCTCCGAAAAGCAACTCGAGGGAATTGGGATTTAGGGCCTTTAGGGAGCTCCAGCCTTTCTCTCCGGCGAGGCGCGATCCCACGGAGCCTGCCAGTCGCGTTGATCGCAAGGGCACGAGGCATCTTCCTGCCAGGGTCTGTGCATCCACTTAACCAGATTTCGGGGCTCCTTTCGAAATGTGAACTCGCATGGTCTCTATCGGCGTAGTATAGGTTTCATCCGTCTACTTGTCTTTCTGTGCCCATCTGTGTCTCTTTCTGTGTCTGCCTGCCGGCCTGCACTCCCGGCCGTTTCAAACTGTCTGCCACGCTAAACCAAACAGGTGCAGCCGCGGGAAAGCAGCCTGTGGATTTGGAAGATGAAAGAACCCACTGATGTGTTCTTCCCCTGCATCTGTGTGTTTGTCCAGGTGCGTGCATGGATCTCGATGCACGATGCATGCATGAGTGTGCCTCTGCATATCCTCTGCCCTGGCGCCGGTGTACATGCGACATTGCGCTTGTAGGCGCGTCTGGACATTTAAGATATGCATGTTATGTTTCCCCGTTCCTCCCATATTCTCACCCTCTGCACACTTTTTCGAGCACGCCATCGGGAAGCTTACGAGGCGTCAGGCCGGACCTTGGGCCACCAGGTATCAAAATTTGCAGC